AGCTGAGGCAATCGGCTGTATTTTCGTCTCCGGTGTCTTGCCTCGTTCTGTTTTCGGTTCCAGGCTGAGGATCATCTTTCGTGCTCCTCAAAAATTAGTTGAGCAATAGTGGTCTCTTGGCTCCCTTCCCATGTGTGGTAGCCACTTCATTGCCCCTTGAGAGGAGTAAAAATAGAACCTAGAGATACATTTCCCAAATCCAGTACTTGAAGTGACTTTTGGCCGTTGCCAGAAGTACTTTCAGTCCCTTTAGTGTCTGTTGTTTATGTTCTCCTTTTCTTTTGCAACTCCTGAAATTCAGACCTGCTCAGTCCTACTGAGTCAGTTTCAGCAATGTGTGCCAAGAATTCAACGTCTGTGGTAGAGCTTGTGGTGGAAGTGACGGTCTCAGAGGCATATTTTGCAGCTGAGTGAGGTGAATGGTGTCTTTAAAAAGATATTTCTACTTTAGCGAAGTTCTCTACCATGTAGGAATCAACAAAAGTTAACTCTGCAACTGGAAAACAGCTACTTTTTAGATGCCATTGTCGGGTCAATGCTGCTGGCAGCCATCTTGCTGAATTGAGCCTTAGGACTGCGAGTAGCATTGCAACAGCTAGCAGAGTGTGGTTTCTGAAGGGATTCTCATTTTCCTGTGCCTACCTGTCTGAAGCAGTGTTTGAGAACTTGGCACCTTGAGCATGGGTATGACCTCACCACTGGGTTTTCATATGATGTTCCAGTAAGTGTCTGCAGTCATCAGGCACCTTGCTCGTTTGCTTCAATGGATAAAATGTTTCATGGATTTTTAAATTTTTTTTTAATTTTTCTGTGATACCTACCAGTTCAGTCTGTAACATGCATGTTCAGGATGGTAAGAAACTGCTGACAGGTTTTATTTCAGAGGTGACTTCATCACAATATTGATAAAAAAAGCACGCCAGCATACAGAAGGCATGACTGTTTTCACTTTCATTACTGCATCTGGAATCAGTTTGAGTCAGTGCCTCTTCACCATATTTTTAGCACAGACTTGCAGGAGCAACTTATTTCCTTAGTTTAAGTGGAGCTTTGGAGGTTGGTAGTAATTTTCAGAAGAATCACTAATCGGTAATTACTTTCTGCTCTCGCTCTTCATACCATCCACCATAATGCATAGCTTCTGGGTTGTGATCACATGCTGAATGAGGGGAGCTCTGACACAGAAAAACAATGAAGTGATTTCTAAAAAATCGTGTCCCCTGCCTCTTCCCTGTGTCAAATGGGGCTGTTGGACTGCTTTTCTGGGAGAGAAAAGGGGGCTAAGATTGGTAAGCGAGAACCTGTTATTTTGGTCTTTAGGGCTAGTAGATATTTGCTTCAATTTTGTTGGTGTCTTGTGCTTTATATACCAGTTTGGCCATTAGCTGTGCTGGGAATTACATCCTCACTTCTGGCCTCTGTCTAGGGTTAGGCTTGATGCAGGCTTTGAATTTCCTTTTAATGACAAACTGGCTCTAAAGCTATGTTTTGTGTTCAGTTTATCTCTTTGTTGAGTCAGTGAAAGGAAGGAGTCAGAGGGAAAGTGTATGAGGGAGCTGACAAAAGCGGTGAGTAGAGGAGATGGTATAGAGGATTTGCACCAGGCTCTTTTTGATGGGAAGCCCATGGAGGAGCTTTAAAAATTACCTAGGTTAGCTGTCTGCCCTACCCTTCACTGAAGTTCACCAGCATGCATAGAGAAATTGGCAGGAGAGAGCCCCAGCCCATGCCTTAGGCTTTCCTCCTTGGTATGCTCAGTTCAGGCTCTTTGATGCACAGGTATCAGGGATTGTCTGAATGAGGTTGAGGTGCACAGATGTATTTTGCTCCATCATCTCGGTCACAGCGTGAGGAACCCCAAGGAGAGGTGCAATGAGGGTAAATAGTGTTGATAATAACACTCTACATTGCTACTGCAAGGTGGGTAGTGCTCGTCGCTCAAAGTCCTTACCCTTGTCTGTAGGAGAAAAAACATCACTATCCTGTGTAGCTGAGGTAATTTCATAACACTTTCGTGTCTTTGTCTACAGAACTGTCAGGTCAGATAACTGAAGCTGACCCTGCACATTTAGATGCCTGCTGCTTGGAGACCTTTATTCCATTTTTAATGCTTCCAAGCTTTTTAATTGCTTAGTGGAGTAATGTACTGACATCATTGATCCAGCCCTTCCTTCTTACTTAGGAAACTGTAGATTCAGTTCTTCAGTACTAAAACTTTTTTCTTGCATTCAGCAGAACCAAGTGGAGCTCCTGCTGTGCTCTTCAGCACAGTGTGTCAGAGGTATCTGAATTTTGTTTCCAGATTTATACAGCTTTTGGTTTATTGACAGTTTTGGCCCAAAAGCTTCCACTTGCTGCCCAGTTCCTCTTCCATTTATTTTTATCTTGTGTCCTAGACTGGTTTTTTAGGCACAGAAGTCTCTGCATCCTGAGGCCAGCCACTCAGTTTCACTGGCAGTTTATGTAGTTGAAGTCTGGCAGCAGTTTCTTATCAAAAGGCGTGTGGATTCACATCTTATGTGTAGAGGGGTATGAGTTACATTCACACTTTGAACAGGCTAAATAGGAGTATTGTTTCTTTCTGGTGTCCCTTAGCTCAAGTTTTAAAAGCTAGCTGCTAAATTAACTTCCAGTGTTCAGAAGCTAATGTTGAGGCAAGGTCCTTACAAGTAGGTGGTTGTTTTTATCCACTCTTTTAACCACAAGATCTTGTCTGGCCTGATGATGTGTTGGTTCAGTTTTCTTACTTTTTTCTCAGTTTTCCTGGAAATCCCAAACTCCCAGACCTTTTAGAACTCTACCAAGACCACATTTTAGGTTGAAGATGGAATTCATGAGCTTCTTTCTTGTGTCTTTTTGGGTTCAGGCAATGGATCCATAATATGGATCTGTGGTCAGTGAAAGGGATGGATGTCAATGTCTTAATTCTTGCACTCTTCAGTGAAGAGAGGAAAACACAACTTTCCCAGTGCTAGCAGTCCAGGAGAGACATGTTTTGCATCTCCTCCTTTTGTTCACTTAAAAAAACGTTGTCTCTCATTTCCAACATGTTTTCTATCCTACCAGGGCTTATGTGAAGCTTGAAAACCTCTTGGAAACAAGCTGGCTGCCCTCATAGGCTTGCTCAGTATTGTTTCCCCTTTTAAGCATCAAAGAAAGGAGCCAATACTGCATAGTCTGTCTTGGTGCTTAGGGACGTGGTTTAGTGATGGGCTTGGCAGTGCTAGGTTAATGGTTGGACTTGATGATTTTAAAGGTCTTTTCCAACCTAAGTGATTCTATAATTCTTGGGCAACATCACACTGTAGGTATGTCACCCGTCTCTGATGTACTTTTAAAAATGCAGTGAGCGTGCCAAGTGACACACTGCTGCCACGGTCTGCGTTCGTGCTGTGTAGCTGCTTGCTCTGCCACTTCCACTAAAATTTTGATGTCTTCTGGTTATTTTGTCCCTAAAAGAGTGAAATGGAGCCAAAGTGTACAACCAACACTGTTGTCTACAAAGCTTCCTACTCTTTGTTGGTGCTTGCTGCTTGCTTAGGGCAAAGGAAGACTTTATTTTCTTTGTCAGAATCAAACCAAACTGTGCAAAGTTCTTTGTTCTGACCTCAGACACTAGCATATCTGGAACACTTTGAGAAAGTATTCAGGTGCCCTCCAAGGGAAGTTACAACAGTCTGCCACTGTTGTGGCAGGCTGAGGTACAGCTTCCAAGAGCTCTTTGGGAATCAGTTGGTTCAAATTCATGTTTCCTTCATAGGGTGAATTATTTGCTATATTACGTTTTGAAGGAAATTAATCTGCCTTCCATTTCTTTGCTGTTTGATTTGCTTCATTTTGTCAAGGCAAACGAATTATCTGCCACATTTCTTGTTGTGTGGTGGGCTAGAGCTGCAGTGACTGCTGTTAAGGTATTATGGAAAGATGCTTATATTTAAAAAGAAAACCCCATTTTTCATGAGCACTTGAATATTTCTACTGGCTTGCTAGGTTTAACTAATAGACCTCGACAGGCTAAACTCTTACTACTCTTCCTGTCAGGGGAGCTGCAGCATTGTCCTTTAATTCCCCTATTTATCTGGGATTTGACACCAAATAGACTTGAACTTTTGATTTGGTGGCAGTGGTTACATGTGATTTCAGATGAGCCTGACTAATTCTTTTAGGCAAAACATCTTACGGTCAGCAACATCTCACAGACCACTTATTTTCAGAGATAGCTTCATACCTATTTCCATTTCAGGCTAGCAAAGTAGTTATAATTACTGACAGAAAATACTGTGCTTTGAGCTCCTGCAACTGGTGCCTGGGAGAAGTGTTCTCCTTTGTCCTACAAACAAGTATAGTTTCTAAATGACAAGGCAGCAAAGAAACCTGTAGAAAGCGGTGACGAAAACAAGGGGGGAGCAGTATCAGACTTGTAACTTCTGTTTTCTTCACCAGTTCTAAAGCGGATGACTTATCGACTGCTATTCTGAAGCAGAAGAACAGGCCCAATCGGTTAATCGTTGATGAAGCCATCAATGAAGACAACAGTGTTGTGTCACTGTCCCAGGTGTGTCATCTATAAAAGCAAAGCATTTAATCTGGTAATTTGCAAGCTGTTGCTGTTATTAACTTGAAATGTAGCTTTGCAACATTGATCTAAGTATTGGTGTCAGAAGCTGCAGCAGTGACAAGGGCAAGAAGTGGGTTGTCTTGTTTTCTAACACCCTCCCATGGTAAAATATATTTTGATTCTCAACTTGTCGGATTCAGTTGAGCTTGTGCCCTTAGTCTGGCTTCAGGATTAGCTCTTGACCAGCATAGTGAGAGCTTCTGTCCTTGTGGATTTAGTATATTGCTTCCAAGATGTAATTCTCCAAAGTCAAGTAACTGCCCTTTAAATGCTTGAATTCTTGTTTTGTCAAAAGCTTGTTCTAATACTGTTACTGTTTACAGGCAAAAATGGATGAATTGCAGCTGTTCAGGGGAGACACTGTTCTGCTAAAAGGAAAGAAGCGGAGAGAAGCTGTCTGCATTGTTCTGTCAGATGACACCTGCTCAGATGAGAAGATTCGCATGAATAGGGTTGTTCGCAACAACCTGAGAGTGCGCCTGGGTGACGTGATCAGGTGAGGACTTGTTTGCTAACTGTTACATACTCCTGGGTTGTCTAAATGTGTGTGCGGGCTCTGAATTGATTGAGTTCAGTAGCAGAGGCAGGGTCTGCAGGAACCTTACATCTTCCAGAAGAAGTCACAGAAATGTTTTCAAGTGTGTGTCTTACATTGGGGATCTCCATTTACTTTTTTATGTGTTTCTGGCTGTTTATGTACTCATTAATACTAGAAAATGATGCTAAAGATTCTTAAAGTCTTTTCAGGACCTTCCCAAGCCCAGGTCCTGTAATTAAATTGAGTGGTTCATTTTATCTCCCTGTTGTCACAATTGTCTTCCCAAATTTCGTGTTGTCAGGTGAACTCGTAAATTATTGTTGTCTAAATTTTTAATGCCTGCAGTGTTAATTGTGGAAGGCATTAAGCAACATTGTAATTAATCTCATAGCGTCTGAGCTGCCCTGTGACAAACAGAAGTTAAAACTTGCTAGAAGTGAGTGACAAAAACACGAAGCGGTCAAAAAGCAAGGTTAAAAATCCACAAAGGATGTTTATATTCCGATTTTGTTATACAGATAATTTTAAAATTCAGAATGCTTAAAAAGTGTTGCAGGAATTTTGTTGTGCAACACTTGTAGAAAGTAGAGGAAAAACATGGAAGTATACATCTCTGATTACCGGAGACAGATTCCATTCTGTGATGGGAGCAGGGGGGAAAAAGGTGTGAGCATTTCTTAAACACAAAAATGCTAGTTTGTAGGCTCAAATATGGGATAGCTAACAGCTCCTCCTCCTGAGCACTGTCCTAGTCTTGGATGTTCTGGAGCCTGGTTTCTGACACGAGAGTTCTCAGGGTGATCTCTGGAATAATCCTTAAATGGAAAATGTGTTTTGTACAGACTTTGTAAAGGAGAGGAGTGAGACTATTCCACACATCCCTCTACCACTAGAAAATGCAAGTTTTAAACACCACTGTAGTTGGAACAGAACAGTGCTTTGAGCCAGTCTGTAGATTTAAAATAAAGGTGAATCCTTACTTTAACCTGATGTGAGGTTACTGTTGAGAGTCCTTTCTAGTGTGACAGTTCAGCATGTGCTCTCCCCTTCTCTGCTGGGACTGTGTCTGTACTGGTTCTCAGCACCCCAAATGTATTATTGATTGCCTTAGCTTTGTTGCAAAGGTCAGAGAATTTCCACATCTCTTGTCCTCAGAGTTTTTCTTGCTGATCTTTAACTGTGTATTGTGTTACATTCTGTGGCCTGGTTTCTGCCAAAATCCAAATTCATGTGCTAATCGCTTCCTGCTTGTGATCTGTCAACTGTTTTACTTCGGGGTCAGTCTGTCTTTTTTTTTTTCTTTTATCCTTCTGCTGTAGCCTCTCTATAAGGCATGGGGTAAAAGAAGCTATTAAGAGCCTTGAGCAAAGTCGCATATGAGAAGTCACATGCTTATTCCACATTGGTTTTTCTTAGCTGGCAGAGCCAGTCTGAACTTTCTGCCACAGCTTGATACTCTGAGTTATTGCTACAGTAGGCTGTTGGCCTACACTGCAAAATAACAACTGAAGTCTGTATTTTAAAAAGGAGAAGAAGCCTTAGGACTTTAACCTAAATGTCAGCCTGCACCAAGTGTGACTGACAGGCACCTGGCTGCAAGCTGGTAACCCCTGGTTGGTACTGTGAGAGCCTTTGCTCACAATCGGGGTTATCAGCAACAGGAACTCTGCTCTCTGGAGCAGGTCATGAGAGAGAAATGAGGGAAAAGAGAGCTTCCCCTGGCTCCCTTTCCCTTGCAGCTGGTTCATCAGTAGCTCCCTGTTGAAACAAAAGTTAGGTTGTGGCGCTCACACATCTTTAGGCAGCATTAGTAACTTGTGAATGTGTTTTGGGGATAGTGAGGGGGGCTGCAGAAGAGCAGGGGGTAGGAAGAAGGTATGAAACTCCCCAGTGGCTTTGGATAGGGCTGAGAAGAGTGAAGGAAGGTGTGTGTTGTGAAGGCTAGCTCCTGATGGGCATGATTTTTGCCTTGTCAGCATTGAAATGTTCTTTGGCAGGTGGGAAGTCTCACCAAAGGCTTCAGAAGGTCCTTTCTGGCATTGGTACTAGCCTGGGAAGGGATATCACTGCCTTTTCCATGTAAGTCCAACATGATGTAGCTAACGGGAGTTTTTTTCTGTTGCAGCATCCAGCCTTGCCCAGATGTGAAATATGGCAAACGTATCCATGTGCTGCCAATTGATGACACGGTAGAAGGGATCACAGGGAATCTGTTTGAGGTCTATCTCAAGCCGTACTTCCTGGAAGCATACAGACCCATCAGGAAAGGTAATAGTGCCTGTTATTGAAGTCTTGAAGGAAGCAAGTGTGAGCTAGTCCTGGGAATGAATAAAGAGAATTTTTAGAAGCTGGCACAGATCTCTGCAAAGCATTAGACTGACACCCATAGAGTGAGATTTTGCTGATGCTGATTTAATTTTTTCCTAATCTTCAGAAGAAAGGGTGATATCTGCTGCTGGTAGTTCTGCATTTTTTTGCTACATGAGATGGGAGAGCATCAGAAAAGGCTCACATAGAATGCAGGAGAAAATTTCATTAAACTACGTTGTTAAGACTTGGTGGAATTGGGGAGTTGCCCACGTATTAATGAATTGACTGGATATACCAGCTGGCACTCTAACTAAATTCACTTCTTTGTGAAGTGTAATTTAAGTAATTAATTAAAGTAATTTAATTAATAATGGGGAGAGTGCTTAGAAAACCAAATGCACTTTTAGAGTTGTGCTGGTAGCATTTCTGCTGGAACAAATAGGTCCTAATACAATATAAACACAAGTTGGAGTTATCCAGCTTCTGTAGCCCAGTTTAGACTGAAATCATAGTGCAGCATTATACATTATTCTGCTTCTGGAGACAACCAGTTACAACTAGTAACACCTAGTTTTAATAACTTAAAAATTAATTTTTATTTAGTTAGCACTTTTTGCCTGTTTTAGAAATCTTAAATCGAAACTGAATGGAAAAGAAATGTGATTCCTTGCCTTTGTGTTTTGTATTTAGGCAGGGTATTCTTCTCTGTTGTTTGCTGGTTTTGTTTGCTGTTTGTTTCTGGATGAAATTTGAGAACTTGAACTGCTGCGCATGTAAATGATGCTTGGGCAGTCATAGTACCTGCAGCTCTGGAGTTGAAAATGCAGAGCAGTGTTAAAAATGCCAGCAGCGTATGCCTGTGTAACCCACTTCTTTGTCCTCTGGGGATGTCGGTAGCACAAGGGTTGACGTTTTGCAGACCTCGGTTGCAGCAGGTTGCTTGAAGTGTGGGGTTTTACAGGTGACATCTTCTTGGTGCGTGGAGGGATGCGTGCAGTGGAGTTCAAAGTGGTGGAGACAGATCCAAGTCCGTACTGCATAGTGGCTCCGGACACAGTGATCCATTGTGAAGGAGAGCCCATCAAACGAGAGGTGAGCAGAATCCTGCCGCGCAGTTCTCCTACTGAATCCTCGCTGTCCAGAATCTTGGTGTTTTGGTGATAGTCCTTGATAGCCACAGTGCATGCAGTTCTTGTTTTGGTATTTTGTGTATCAAGTGTAATGGTTAGAAACTGGTCTCAGGAGATGAGCTGCTGCTGAAGGTAGGTAGTCAGAGAGGTGTACTCCGGTCCTTCCTCATACACTGACACAGCACCAGTGCATAAGTTTGCTGACAGGATGCCATACTTTGGCAGCAGCTGGTTTTGCATCTGCTTCCAGATGTCTCATACTGGACTTAGATGTATCTTTTAATTCCAAAGTTCCCTTGATCCATAGCAGGGAGGGCTTACAATGTTGCTAAATTTCATGCCACATGAAAAAACAACGATCAGTGCTTTTTCAGTGAGAAATTTGAAATCCTAGAATGGTTGATTTTTAATCCGCTTCCTCCCCTCCCCCCGCTGCCCTAGTCCCTTAAGGTATCTAGCTTGAGGCAGCCTGAGTGGCTTGTCTGTGCTTGGCTACCTTAGTGTTACAGAGTAGGAAATCTCAGATAAATGAGCTAAGGCGGTTGCATGCTTCACCCACTGCCTTTTTACCACCTGCAAATCAGTGTGAGTGCTGGTCTGTAGTTAGCTGCCTTCTGAAAAATTCACCTCTATGTTATACTTGTGAGACTGCATCTGGGCACTAGATGAGTCCAGTTTGGCCTCTTCAGGTCACAGCAGAGACAGACAGGAGCATATTCAGCCAAGGTTGCCAAAGTGATGAGGAGCTGGAGGTCAGAATGAATGAGGAAGGCCTGGGAGAGTGGGATGATGCAGTCTGGAGAAGGGTGGGCAAAGAGTCAGGCTTACTGGCAATGCCTAATGTGAAAGGGTAGATGACCAGGCTCTTCTAAGAGCTGTGCCCAGGGACAGGACTAGAGGCAGTGTCATAAGCTGAATCAAGGGAAATTCTCAGGAGATACCATGAAAAAGGTTTCCCCCAACTCTGGAGCAGGGCCGAGAGAGGGCAGGAATCTTCAAACCTGGAGACCTTCAGTACTTGATAGGGCCAGACCCTGAGTTACCTGCTTGAAGTAGTAGTTCCTATTTATGGGGCTTGGACTGAGCCCCTCTGAGATTCCAGGCTGTGTTGTTTTATTAGTATGGCCTAATGTTACAAATGGCTAAGGTCAGCAGAGATTTGGACAGCCAAATGAATGGATGCTGTAGGGCTATACTGGAAGAGTTTGTTACTGTTGATCTTACCCACATGTGTGCATTTTAAGATTATCTGTTAATTTGAGTCAATCCCAAAAGGCAACACTACATCTGAGAACTGTATCGTAGCTAGAGTACGTCAAGTAGTTAGAGGTATCACTTACAGTTTAAGGAATAACTGTATTTTATACTGAGCTGCTTTGTCTATTGCTGTCTTTGTTAGCCATATCAGATGGTCCCAGAGCTTTTTTTCTGCTAGAGTCTGTAGCAAACCTGGCAGCAGAGGCTGTCACTCAAGAGAGTGGGCTTTGGTGAGGTCTAGGTACGTGCAGACAATTCCTTTTGTAAGTCTGGAAAAAGAGAGCTAAGAAACAATTGTAGAAGACACCAGGAAGACTTGAAAGTGAGAATCTCGAAAGCGAAGCATTTCTTGCATCATCCATGAGCAGCAACCCAGATTCCGGGCTTCTGTAGACTGGGAGGTGTTGTTGAACTATTGTTTTCACTGAAACGTTTAATAAATTTCCTTCCGGATAGGATGAAGAGGAGTCACTGAATGAAGTGGGCTATGATGACATTGGTGGCTGCCGGAAGCAGCTGGCTCAAATCAAAGAGATGGTGGAACTTCCCCTCCGACACCCTGCGCTCTTCAAGGCCATAGGGGTGAAGGTAAGCCTCCGTTGTGCACTAAGTGGATGAGTGGGCTTACCCTTCTAGATGACTCTTGGTCTCAGAGGTTTATGAGGCGGAGGTGGGGGCAGATAAGTGATTTGTGGGGTTTTTTTAATGCTGGTGTTAGGAAAGTATTTCCTTACCTGTTTTGGACACAGATTAAAGTACTGGCAACTTGTAGAGTGGAGTGATGCTTTGAATCAGTGCTGTCAGTTACTGGCAAGGCTTTTGTTTGTGTGTCATGCAAAGTAGTAAGAGTGTTGATAGAAATGCTGGGATGGCAGCTGTTTTCATGAGTTTGCATCACAATTTTGGACTGGCTTTATGAAATGCTTAAAATTTCACTCAGAAGCTACTTAAGCATTCAGATACTAGCTCACCACCTGAGTCTCTTGCCTTTGTCCTCAGCCTCCACGTGGGATCTTGCTGTATGGTCCTCCCGGCACTGGTAAAACACTGATTGCCCGAGCAGTGGCCAACGAAACGGGGGCTTTCTTCTTCCTGATCAATGGTAAGTTGTGTGGCTGCTTTGGCCCCAGATCTGCTGTGTGCTTATTCATCCATCTTCTGGTAATGAATGGTATTAACAGGGCTTGTAGAGCCACGTTGTCTCTCTGACATCCTTCTTTACCTCTTTCAAGTGTGCCTCTGGGGAGACTTAGAGGCCATTTGTGTGGAAGCATCTGTAGTGGCACTTCCCTTAAGCTTGGTTGTGTTGTAGCAGGGTGGTTGGAAGTCCGTTTTGCAATGCAAGGACTTGAAGTCTGTCTGGCAGGGTGTTCACTTATGTTGGTGATGGCAGAACTTACAGTGAAGTGGTGAGATTATTCTAAGTATATGGGTGCAGGACGCTTGTTTCTGTTGCTGCCACCATGTTCCATTCAGAAAAGAAGCTGATCAGCTGTGGATTTCTCGTTCTGCTCAAGTAAGCCACAAGACCTGTTCTGTTTCACGTAACATGAATTGAGAGGAACTTTCCTGAAAGCTATAATGAGTACCTTGGGGCTTAGCTACAAGTGATACAATCTCCTATTGATAACTCTCACCTGTGGCAGCTGAGATGGTTACTGGTTTATGTCCAGTAAGGACCAGATTCTGATTTTCCTCGCTGCTGTTCTGTCCCATTTTGTAGTCCGTGCTGGAATAACTGAACATATTAGGGAGTGCTGCTTTGTTTTTCCTGATTTCAATCGTAGGCCCGTGAAGGTGATCGCAAAAGAACGTATAGCACAACGTAGCAGTGACCAGTGGAAGTGGCTTGCTTTGTATCTCGAGGTATCAGATGTAAATGGGCTGGTTTTAACCATATGCCGCCCCTGTCATATGCTTCCTAAAGTGTGTGGAAGCTGTCGCTGAATGCTAATGAGCCAGCCATTTCTTTAGACACTTGTACTTCTATTGCATAATAAAAATAACATTGTCAGAGCTAGTGATGCGTTCTCTGTCTGTTGGTCCCAAGCCTGGAGCTGCAGGCGGTGTTGTAGACAGAGCTGGTATGAACTGGTGAGTAACTTGTAATGAAATACTCCTAGCCCACACCAGTGGCTCTGCAGCTGGTGCGCTTCAGTCAGCTAGCAGCTTTGCACTCCTGAGAGTCAGGTTTCTTTTTCTTGGATCTTTTAGAAGCATATTTTCCCTTCATTGCCATTCCCATCAGCGTGATGGAAAAATCTGTAAAAACAGAATAAATCTGTAAGCCTGCACTAGTGTTCACCAATTGTAGATCTTGGGGGAATGATGTCCTTTCTTCTGGGATTGATGTGCTTACATGTGTGTTAATTTTTTTTATTTGTTCGTTGAGAGGAGATGGGGTTTGGGGTTTTTTGTTGTGGTTTTTTTTTCTTTTGTTTTTTTTTTTAAAAAATGATAGGATCTCACAGAGGTAAATGTATACCTGTGTAATGTAAGCCAAAGGCAGCTTCAGTATCTTACAGCTTTTTCCTTCCCTGCCCTGGTAATTCATCACCACATAATTCGATTGCTTCTCTTGCAAGCTAGGACTGGCATTAACAGTGTGTGGTGGCACATTACAGAGAAGCTCACCAAGTGTGAAATAGGGTAAGGAAAGAAGCAGCTAAAGGTAGCTCATTTACTAGCACTGCATTCTGTTAGAGTAAACTAGAAACACCAGAATAATGATAGAAAGTAATTCTGCATGCTGTTCTTGCCTGTTCAGCTGCAAATTTAGAGAATCTTCTTGATAGTATTTGCTTTGGCTTGAAATACAGAGTCTCCTGTGTGAACGTTGTACTAAAAAAATTTCAGCACCATGCCTTGGGGCTAGCTGCCTCTCTTCTGGGTGCCACAGTGCTGCTATTTTTCAGGTCCTGAGATAATGAGCAAGCTGGCTGGTGAGTCTGAGAGTAACCTAAGGAAAGCCTTTGAAGAAGCAGAGAAGAATGCTCCTGCCATCATCTTCATTGATGAACTGGATGCTATTGCTCCCAAGAGAGAGAAGGTAAAGAAAGCCTGTAGAAGGTAAAGAGGTGCATCCTTTTTGGTAGCCGCTGGCATGAATGTCTGCTTTTGACTACAGGGTAAAGCAGTATTTAACTTAGCACCTGATTTCAGTTGGATGTGAGAAGAATCAGATATAGTACAACACGTTTCTTAACAGCTCGTGGCTGTCCTGTCTGCTCTGGTGCAGTACTAGCTCCTGTGCTGTGTTGTAGAGCTTTTTGTCTAACTGCAAACACTCTCTCCACAGACACACGGAGAGGTGGAACGTCGCATAGTGTCTCAGCTGTTGACTCTTATGGATGGACTGAAACAGAGAGCACATGTGATTGTTATGGCAGCTACCAACAGACCGAACAGCATCGACCCAGCACTCAGGCGATTTGGTAACCACGATTGCAGTCTCTTGTTTGTGTATCACATACCGTGCTTCAGTGGTCTTGGAAGGATTGAGCAGAAATTAATACTAAACATCTTCTGTGTGTCACAAACTATTCACTTGTCTCCAGCTGCTTGTTTTGAAATTGTAGGGTTCTAGCCTTTGGTATAATTTTCTGTGCCGTATTAGGTTAGAACTTGTAGAAATAAAAAAATACTTTGAAGTAGAAAAGTGTGGTGGCCTCAATTAGGTGAAGCTATTTTAAGGACAAACTGAAGGAGTAAAGGCTTAAGGGAATGTTCATGCCTTAAGCTGCAGAAGGCTCTGAATTGTCTGATTTCTCTTGATGAGAGGTCCTGTAGTTTGAGATTCAGGTTTTTGAAACTTTGCAGTGTGAGTGAACACCTGGTGTATGACCAGTTGGTAAAGTCTGTAATAGCAAACCAGTCAAGTATGCAGGGGAGAAAGGCCTCTTAATGTGTAGTGAGGCATTTGAATGCACAGCTATGGCTAGAGGCAAATGATAGGTGTACATGCCGTAGTAAATACTGCAATAATACCTAGGTTTCCTACCTCTGCAGGTAGTTCTGGGGCAGTTCATGTTTTTCATCACTTGGGTACTGCTATGAAAGTTCTGAAAAGTTGAATCTCTCAGTATTTGCAGACTCTTGTGCTGAGAGGACACAAAGGTAGAAATAAAGAAAAATGTCTCATGGTGTGTTGGTTTGGGGAAGCATATCCACCTATAAATGAGGCTCAGAAAAAGTTACTAAACTAACAATCCTCTGAGTCATATAATCTTGAACTCTAGTTAGTACAGTAGTCTCACTTTCCCTAAATGGTTAAAGCCTTTCCTCCTTCTCTGATCTGACTCTGCTACTGTGCTGATAGATGAGAAACCCAAAGCTCTCGCATTTTCTGAAATTGTATGTGTTTGTGGCTTGTCATCATGTTGTTCAGTCAGAGGAAGGCAGCAACTGCAGCTCCTCTAGTTTGCAGAATCAGCAGCTCAACGTATGTTTTGTACTCCCCAGGTCGTTTTGACAGAGAGGTAGATATCGGTATCCCAGATGCCACTGGGCGCTTGGAGATCCTGCAGATCCACACAAAAAATATGAAACTGGCTGATGATGTGGATCTGGAACAGGTGAGTAGCGTGCTATTAGGAGAGCTTGTCTCTGCAGACAGACGTTTCTGATGCTCTGTTTTGTAGTGGAAGAGTTGTTAAGGCTTGTCGCATAAATTAATTGCTCCTTTAGGACAGTGTGAAACTGAGTGAATGTGTGATCTCTGGGCTTCCTTCTGACTAGTTTACCAGTGACCAAAAATCCTCACTCGCTAGTTAAGAATGGCATGGCTAAGTGAGACAAACGTATCAGTCCAGTTTGGAAGTGCCTTGCCACTGTCCTCCTGGGTCTGTTTGCTGTGGCATTGTCTCTGAAAGTAAAGCGAGCCTGGAACAGCTCATGCAGAGCTAGTGAGCAATGTGATGACACTGGACACCACATGTAAACTGGATGGTTTCTGTAATATCTGTCCTGAATGAAGATCTGCAGTGCTGATGGTTATTTTTTTGCATACCATCTGAATTCCAATTGCAGCTTTGATCTCAAGTAGGAGGTGGAACAGCGGTGTCTTTGCCCGTTAGATATGTGGTAGCAATTGCCTTGAATCTGCAGCAAAGCATGGATGTTCCTGTCCTCCAGAGCTTTGTTGCAGCTCTGGAGTGCCAGAGCATGCATTGCCCTTGCAGAGCGCTTGCTTGTATCCCTGTGAGTCATAGTCAGTACTCTGCTTTCAGGTGGCAAACGAGACCCATGGCCATGTTGGTGCTGACTTGGCTGCTCTTTGCTCAGAAGCTGCTCTTCAGGCTATCAGAAAGAAGATGGATCTCATAGACCTAGAAGATGAAACTATTGATGCTGAAGTAATGAACTCGCTGGCTGTGACCATGGATGACTTCAGGGTAATGCAGGAGTGCCCCTTGTTCTTTTGGGTGCAATGTCTAATTGCTTATCTGAAGCAAGTGAATGTAATGTGTTAGAATTCATACAATGCCATTTCTTCTAATGATAGTGGGCTCTGAGCCAGAGCAACCCTTCTGCTCTTCGGGAGACTGTGGTGGAGGTGCCACAAGTTACCTGGGAAGATATTGGTGGTCTAGAAGATGTAAAGAGAGAACTCCAGGAGCTTGTACAGGTAAGGATTTCCAACAAATTTTTGCCTGGTCAGCTTGAATAACAATTTATAATAATAAAATCCAGAATTCCCGTTCACATTTGGGAATGTGAACAGGCTAAATGCAGAGGTTTTAATGATATTTGCTTGTAATGGACTAAAAATACCATGCTGTTCCATCTTACTGAACTTGGAGAGGAAGGTGCTGGGAAGCAGCATCAGGCTTTTCTTAGCTAGGTCTACAGTGTCATCATGGGTGGGTGTTTGCTACAAGCAGAAACAGCAGCAGTTCTGCTTCTCTTAAGTGGAGACCAGCAGTGGGACCACTGCTGAGCATCCTCTTATGTTGTGGCTTCATATGCCAGAAAGTGGATGAAGATTGTCATGCAGAGAGCCTCTGAAGGGCTTCCCATCAGTGTTAGCACAGGGACAGGTGAGAACTAATTCTGAAGCCTTCTGTGAAGGGAAAGGCTGGGACAAAAAGTCGTGAATGGTCTGTGTAAACTCCTGGTGGCTGCGTTGGCATCGTTTGGATTTGATATGCTCCTGCTTTGTGTTGGCACTGTAGAAACATCCTGTCTGTGAATAAAAGAACCCAATTTTCAGCCTTAATTTTCTCATGTTAAAATCATCGCCTATCTCTGACCTTATGGCTGAGGATAAATGCTCACATCAGACACCTTGCATGTCTTTGGAGGGCAGAGTGAATAGGTTAGATAATGAGCTGTTCCCTTTTGCTTCTGCAGGGCAGAGTGAAGTTGGGGTTAAATGTCCTGGAAAACTACCTGAGCCGGTACTTAGTTCTTAGAGGTGAACAGGCTGTTTAAGGCAGCTTTCCAATTTAGCTGTGATGCTTTTCAAACCAGTGTCCATTTAAAAACTCCAGTGGCCTTGAACAGGCAGAATCTTGTATTTAACCCACCAGAAATCTCAGGTAGTGTTTCTAGTAGGAGGAGGGACAAAACTGATCTAGTAAAAGATGTTCCTGCCTATGGCAGAGAGGTTGGTCTAAGTGATCTTCCCACCCAAACCATTCTGTGATTCTAAGGAACAGGCCTGTTCTGGCTCATCACAAGAGGTGTTTGTTTTGTTCTCCTTCAGTATCCTGTGGAGCACCCAGACAAGTTCCTCAAATTTGGTATGACCCCATCAAAAGGGGTTCTGTTCTACGGGCCACCTGGTTGTGGTAAGACACTGCTGGCCAAAGCCATTGCCAATGAGTGCCAGGCAAACTTCATTTCCATCAAGGGGCCAGAATTGCTCACCATGTGGTTTGGCGAGTCTGAAGCCAATGTGCGCGAGATCTTTGACAAGGTAAGTGTTTCTTCTACTCCTTGTGCTATGTTTGTGCTGAGGTACCCCCAGAACATTGTCTCCACTGCGTCTGTCTTACTGGCCTGGTTCTTGTTTGTGTCTTCCGTGTTTTCCCCACTTGCACTAAGAGCTGGGGATGCTTTCCTGGTGTTAGGGAGTTAATCCTCTTTGGCAGCATAGCTATTGGAACTGTTTTCTCTGGCTGCAATTTGCATCTGTTGTTGCAGGATGATAAATGCCCCGGTGCCTTAGCAGTGAAGCTAGTGTTAGGGTGGCATAGATACCCTCTGCTCCCATAAAACTTACCTTGACATCTCATTAGCTGTCACGATCTACGGATTTTCAAATGGGTCCTTGTCCTGCAATATACATCGCTTAGAAAGCAACTCACTTCTACTGCCCAGTTACCCCATAGATAGTGTGACCCCCTGTCCCAGGAGTTATCTGCCCGAATTATCCTGGGAATCCTCACTCTTGTGGTCAGGGAAGGTGCTGAAAGAGCAGAGGAGGGAGAGAGAGAAAAATTTAGGTTGGGAGGGTACCTCAGAGGCCATCTGGTCCAGCTGTTTGTAGGGAGCAGGGAGATAACTTGGAAATTTGATCAGGTTGCTCAGGGCCTTGTGTTCTGAACATGTGCTAAAGGGTGGAGAATCCCTGGCCTCTCTGGGTATGTGTGCTAGTGTTTGAGCGCTGTTATTGCAAAGAATTTTTTTTTCCTCATTTGTAACTGGAATTTCCTCTGCAGCCATTCGTGCCTGTGGTCTTTCATCCTTTCACTGTACACCCTGAAGAAAGGTCGGGCTCCCTTGTCCCTACAACTACCCATTAGGTAGCTGAAGACAACGGTTGGATTTCCCCCTTCCATTGGATATATCTCATGTACTTGATATGCCTTGAGTGCCTAAATAACCAATTGACGTCCCCAGATCTTGCAGAGGGAGGGTTCTGGTCCAGGCAGATGGGCTCTGGCTTTCCCTCTAGTCACTGGAGTTACCACTCTTCTGCCTGGCTCACAATGCTCCCAGCTTTGGAGAAATGCAGCTTGCTGTTGAGGAGAACTTAACTGAGGGTTTGTGTGGCAGGAGACTGTTCTGGAGCAGCTCCTCCAAGGTCTCCTTGCAGCAGCAGCACTCTGGTACTCCTCCGAGCTGCTTTAACGGTAGAGTAGGCTTAGTGTGCAATCACTGTGCTCCTTGCTGGGTGGTATTGAAATGGGGTAATTCTTCCCGTTTGCTTTTTGTAGGCCCGCCAAGCAGCCCCTTGTGTGCTCTTCTTTGATGAGCTGGACTCCATTGCAAAGGCTCGAGGTGGGAATATTGGTGATGGTGGTGGTGCTGCAGACCGCGTCATCAACCAGATCCTGACAGAGATGGACGGCATGTCCACCAAGAAAAATGTCTTCATCATCGGTGCCACCAACAGGCCAGACATCATCGACCCAGCCATCTTGCGCCCCGGCCGCCTGGATCAACTCATCTACATCCCCCTGCCTGACGAGAAGTCCCGGGTTGCTATTCTTAAGGCCAACCTGAGGAAATCGCCAGTTGCCAAGGTATGATCTGCACCCTGACTGCATCCGACTTGGGTTTGCTGTGTGCTGCATGTGCTCCTCACAAGCTGGGGACAGAGTAGAGGGCCAGGTGACTGCTCCACGTGGTATGGAGCTGGGAAACATTCAGTCCCTGAAGGGTGAAAATTAAGAGATAGGGGAGGGCTTGAGCTCTGAGGCTAGGTATCAACAAAGCTGGGTGTTGGTGTGTATGGTTAGGTGTAGGTTATGGTGTAGGTTATGACCTCAAGTTGCGCCAGGGGAAGTTTAGATTGGATATTAGGAAAAATTTCTTCACTGAGAGGGTGGTCAGGTATTGGAACAGGCTGCCCAGGGAGGTGGTGGAGTCGCCATCTCTGGAAGTGTTCAAGAAACGTGTGGATGTGGCGCTTCAGGACATGGTCTAGGGGACATGGTGGCGCTGGATTAATGGTTGGACTTGATGATCTTGAAGGTCCTTTCCAACCTAGTGTTTCTGTGATTCTGTAAGCACAGCAGGTCTTTGTCACAGAGTGGAGCTTTGCCCATGGTGCAGGAACAGGAAAGCCTGTTATGGCAAGGTGGAAAAGACTCTTGTACTGTGAAAGAAAAGTAAATGTAGAATGTGGAGGTGGGAAATGGAAATTGAAGAGGAACTGTGCCTTGCTGGACCTGCTGTTTACAAACA